ATCTTTAAATTGAGCTATTCTTGAATTAAGAGTAGTCAAAAATGACTTTAATAATAATTCTATTAATCATATTAATAATAATAATTAACTTTAATGGCATCTGCAACTGACACACTGCTCCATTAGAGATAAGCTGTATCTTATCTTCTTATTTCTTGCTTATTTACAATTGTGAGTAAAAACAACAAAAGTATGTGATTCATCCTTCAATGATATCCATCCCCTAAAAAACAACCACTTCTTCTATCCAAATATAAAAGTCATATGCAGTCAATAAATAACCCAGTACTAGTAGTATAGGTAAAGAAGACAGCATTGGCTAAAAAATTTAAGAATTTGAAGTAAAAAGTAAAAAAGCAAAATCACTAACCAATGGGTCAAATTCATTATACAGTAGTTGCTGTATTTTACTATTGTGGTATACAAATGACTAGATATGCTATATGTTTATTTTGTATATGAAAGATAATTGTAAACGCTTTGTTATGGGCCAGGCTATATGGGCAATGACCAAACTTCATTTTACCCTGAGACTTCATATCATGTAAGAAATGATCCTCTCATGGGAAAGCCCCACATCTGTACCCATTAACATTTACCTAGCATAACATTCCTGGAAACACAAAATAGCAATTCTTATACATTGTAAAATTATTCTCTTTGGTTTCCATTTTTCTTGGGCAATGTACCCTGTCAGAGATTGATAGGCTAGACATTAGTAACCGTTATCTAACTTGTACTCAATTAGGGTCATTTTTACCCACTTCCCTTTGCTTGCTTGCTGCTATGCCAACCTGGAAATTCCCCCAGGAAATACTAATGTACCCATTGCATTGTCTTGCTAATTGCCCACTTCAGCTTCTGTACTTGCTTGCTTGCAGCTACCTCAACCCAGGTGTGGTTTTTGCCTTTAAATCCTAAAATGCTCAGGCTCAGGGCTGTTCCTTGCAGTTATGGGTCCTGTGGGGAGCAGTTGCTGGCCAGCCAGCTAAATAAAGACTCTTCAATTTGGACAAAACTGGGGCTTGGTGTGCTTTCTGAGTGACCTGCCCCACAACAACTTTTAATAGATTTTTTTTCTGAATAACTTACTTAGATCAAAAAGCAACATCTTAAATTTTCCCAAATATCCTCAAATAAGGCACACATAATAAGTTTACTATTTATAATTTAGAAACCTCATATTAATTTTTAAAAAGAAACACAAAATTTCAAATGATAAATATAATTGGAAAATTTTGTGAGTAAAAAAAAATCTTAATGGAGACAGCCCTTGCCCTAAACGAGGTCTCACCTAAACCTCTTCAAGCAATTTTTTTTTCTGTTTCCTTATTTTGACATAAAAGGAAAATACAATGTTTCAAAAACATAAAATGGGATGTTCTATTTGCTGTACATTACAATCATTGTTAGAGCAAAGAACAATTGTTTCTTAAGACTAACGCAAATACTGGTGAATTATTGGTCCCACACAACTTCAAATATC